GGAATAAATAGATCTTTTCTAATAAGGCTAAGTATCTTTTGCCCTCTACACCTGTTATGGACTAAATGTGTTTCTCTAAAATTCATATGTTGAAGCTACATTTGAAAGAGATATATGATTATATAAGTTTAGTGAGAAGGGCTTTGTAAGAAGTGGTGGCTCTTTGAAGATGTTCTCATCATTAAACAAATCACAGCATCTTTAGTCTTGAAGCCACTATTTTTCTTCTGCTTGAAAACTTTTCCTTTTACAAGCTTTTTATGGTAGGTAGAATCGAGAAAAAAGAAATTATTCTGAACTTGGTGAGGAGAGAGACTTAAAGCATACATTGATAATAATAACCATGTACATTTGCATAGATCTTTTATTTAATATATATTTACATATATTATTTATTTTGAACTCTGACAATATCAAAGACACTTACATTACGAAATAGACCACTGGTTTGTAGCCATCAAAGTCACGGATCCAGCATAGGAAACAAATTTCCTTTTGGACTAGATAATAAACTCTCCTTTTGATTTATTTTCCATGCTATGTTGGCCTCTTGAGTGTTTGTGTGCATTGTTCTTTTTTGGATCAGTGGAATACATACCCTTAGAACCCATACAAAAGGTCAATTGATATAGTTTGGATATATGTCCCGCCCAAACCTCATGTTGAATTGCAATCCCCAATGTTAGAGGTGGGGCCTGGTGGGAAGTGATTGGATCATAGTGACTGATCCCTCTTTACTTGGTGCTGTTCCTGTGATAGTGAGTGAGTATTAAGGAGATCTTGTTTAAAAGTGCGGTACCTCCCCTCTCTCTCTCTCTCTCTCTCTCTCTCTCTTTCTCTCTCTCTGTCTCTCCCCCTACCACTGCCCATGTGATGCACTTGCTTCCCCTTTGCCTCCCACCATGATTGTAAGGTTTCTCAGACCTCACCAGAAGCCAGGCAGATGTTGGTGCCATTATTGTACAGAATCAGGAGCCAATTAAACCTCTTCTCTTTATAAATTACACAGTCTCAGGAATGTCTTTTTAGCAATGAAAGAATGACTTAACACAGCAGTTATAATTTTTAAAAAGGAGATTATATCCAGTAAATCATAAATCTCTGAAGTTCCAAGCCATTCTTCCAATAGACTACAATGACCCATCTTAATATCCCCCTATCCATAGCAAGACATTCCTCCTGATTCACAGGAGGCCTTTACTTTTAGCTGCATTATGACACGTTATGACACTGGGTGTGAAAGAATTTGGAAGAACAAAAGAAGGAAAGGAGAAAAAGAGGAAGAAAGAGAAGCAGACGATCAAAAAAATCTGTATTAAATAAAGGGAGAAAAACAAATCAAGTATGTGAGTGGGAAAGAGTCAGGTTAGGGGTTGTATTAGACTGGGTCACTTTAACATCAGACATTTGTTTCCCACAGTTCTGTAAAATAGGAAGTCCAAGACCAAGGTACTGGCAGATTTGGTTATTGTTGAGGATCCTCTTCCTGTCTTTGCAAATGGCTGCTTTCTTGATCATATGGCAAAGAGAGAAAGAGCTCTGGTCTCTTCCTCTTTTTATAAGGACACTAATCCCGTCATGGGGACTCAACCCTAATGATTTCATCTAAATCTAATTACTTCCCAAAGGCCTCACCTCCAAATATTATCATGTTGGGAGTAGAGCAGGTATGTGGTGGGCGTCTGAGCATATGATCATCACACATCACTCCAGGTGCTTATTTATTGGGTATACATGTTTATATTTCTGAGTATAGTTAATCATCTTTCTAGCGTCCATCTCAAAGTGAACACACAGAAAAAGACCATGATTGAGAAGATGGGCATGAGGGAGCTTCAGAAGTCTGTCTATTTGGGAGCTGGGGAATAGAAGTAGTGGACATTTTGAAAGTATAATCAGTGCTTTTAAAAATCTAACTGTAAGTAAAATTCCTTGTGGCCCATATGGCATTGAGGATAATTTATGAGGCTCTGTCTCAGACAAGGAGGGGAAGGTATGGCCTGCTATAACAAAGAAATTATAGTTCAGTTTCAGTTCACCAAGTAGATTGTTCTGGGTCCATAAGAAGACAATATTTTTTAAATCCAGGCTTTTGTTGAGGACTTTCTTTTCTAAATTCCTCCTTATACATCTTTATGTCTCTGCTTTAACAAATATTCCCATTATACATGAGTTCTGGTCTACTCAGAAAGCAGTAGGCCTGTAAGGTGGAAAAGGAGGAGGATATGAGAAAGAGAAACTCCTACCCAAGAGAAAAGAAAGGACTTTCTCACTGGAGAAGATGAATGAGAAAGGGTGGAGGAGATAGAGATTTGAAGGAGTTTCTTATGGTGAGAATGCTGCCTGGGTTCCTACCAACCTTAGGCTTCAGCCCAAAGGGAGAGGGCAGCACAATGGAAACTCTGATGGAACCCTCAGATAGATGAAAAGAAAATCTGAGGATATCCCGACTGGCATTCTACTTGTCCATAGACAGCAATATGGTGCAGCACAGTAGAACAGCAAGGGCAGTACAAAAGTTACAGATGATGAGCTTGAAGTGGCTTTTCTTAGTCTCTCTGCACTCCATCTTGGGTGCGACGGCTGACTGACACACAAAAGAGGGCTGATAGAGAAGACTGTCTAACCTTCCTGGGAGAATCACCACAACAGGGGGCAAAGAGACAACGAGGGCTCTAGGGCTCTACAGCGGTGTGCCCACATTGGGATTGCCTTGTAGACTTGGCAAGACCAAATCTATAGAACTACAGAAAGCCAAGCCTAATAAACTAGGGAAGATGGATAGGTCCCCAAGAGTAAGTCCTCAGCCATGGCACCTATCTTTGAGGAGACAAGGGATGACAACTTATGCTGTCCTTGCATGCATCAGCTGCCAAAGCCAGCCCCCAACAGAACCAGATAGCACAAAGACCAGATGCAGACTTCTGGTCCTCCCAGCTCCTATTCCTAGAATACGATGGGAGCACCTCTCCCACTCCCATGCATAGAGCCTCCAGCTTGAGGCTCAATGAGGAGAGGAAGAGAAGAGAAGCCATCCTGACAGCGACTAACCTTGAATTGAACTTGAATTAAGCCAGTAGAGATTGTGTTACTTTCAATTTGGCAAGTTTATATTAGCTGGAAGTCTCCAGAGAAAAATGAGTTCAGTAATACAGAATAGAGGAAGTTGCAGTTTTTTGTACATCAGAAACTTAATACATAAATTTCAACCCAGTTGCCCTACTTTTAAAGGCCAGTGCTCTCCCGTACTCTGAGAAATAATCTTCTGACCATTTTCTTTGACAAAGCAACTTGAGCTTTATCTTACAGATTTTCCCACAGGCATTCTAGGACCATCTCAACCTAACTAGCTTTAGTTTTTTGACTTTGTTGCTTTAACCTTTGGTTCTGGCATTCCTTTTTTTTTTTTTTTTTTTGAGAGAGAGAGTCTAGCTCTGTTGCCCAGGCTGGAGTCCAGTGGCACAATCTTGGCTTACTGCAACCTCTGCCTCCCAGGTTCAAGAGATTCTCATGCCTCAGCCTCCTGAGTAGCTGGGACTACGGTCGTGAACCACCACACCTGGCTAATTTTTGTATTTTAGTAGAGATGGGGTTTCACCATGTTGGCTGGGCTGGCCTTGAACTCCTGACCTCCAGTGATCTGCCTGTCTCAGCCTCCCAAAGTGCTAGAATTACAGGCATGAGCCACTGCGCCCGGCCAGTTCTGGCATTCTTATTGACCCTCAAGCCTGATCAAACCTGAGCACCCCTACTCAACTGGCACTTCAAGTTATAAGCCAACCTTTCTTTCCATCCCTAAGAGGGTCTACATTCCCCCAGTTACCACTCACTGGTTCCATAGCTAATCAGTTTCTAAGTTCATTAAGGGCAAAAACTATGCCCCATACATCCATATCCTAAGTTCTTAATAACAATGTGTGTATGTACATGTCCATATGTTTTTGCCCACATAGAAAAGGTATTTTTTGTAAATTAGAAACACACACCCAACACACAACATACACACATACGACACACACACATATACAACACATACACACAACAGACATATATACAAAACACACACATACATATCTCTCTATTCACACTAAGCATTAAAAATTGGACCTGTTTCAAAGTGTATGTAGACAGTTAACATAGGCATCATATCTAAACAGAGATATTTTAAGGACGCAACAAAAAGCTAGTTTAATCATCATTATTAATCATTATTATTGATAAATGTGGGCTGTGCTGGTATGTAAGCAAAACAACATACAAGTATGGCTTTTTGACTGAAATCATTGTCTATCCAGTTACATGACAGTAATAATAAATTATCGTAATTAGTGACAAAGTTTTCTTTTGTTGTGTTTCTATAGAGAAGAACCCTGGGGCTACTTTTACCATATGCACATATGATATCACTTCCCGAAAATGCATGAACATGAAGGATTTTGTTGTGGTGGTTGTTGTTTTAGTACAACAGGGCAAGAAATACTGTAGAAGAAATGGCCTCCAGAAACGTGGTTGATTTATATCTCAGGAATGTCTGCGAAGGGTAAGGGCTGAGATGGGGGGACAGATTTTCTCAAATAGCTGCTAAACCAAGCAGGCTCCAGCTAACAGCCATTTGGCAAATCAATCCCAAAACTACTACATGCATGCATCTTAGGTTTCCTTCTATTTCACCAGCTTTTCATTCAAATGGGATCACACCAATAGCGATAATCTGTATTTTACCCCCACCAGTCCTCTGCTGCTCATTCTAAATTTATTTTCCACTCAAAGTGCCCCCAGATATTTCTGAGACAATCCAGGATAGCTCGTATGAACTTATTAACAAGTCTGGTCAGGTGTCTCTTGACATTCCCCGGAACGGTTGTCATTTGCAGCACAAAGTATTTCTCTGGCCACACCCACTGGCTCTCAGGATGCAGGTGAGTTCTTCCAGGGAGAAGCAAGCTGGTGAGCAGCTCCACACACTCTGACCACCTTCTCCGTGCCCCACGATGGAAAAGGTCCCATTCTGGAAGATGCGCTCAGAGCCAGAAAACTTCCTTTCTCTTTTGTGCGTGTGTTTCTCCTTTAGGGACACACAAAGTAGTGTCACACACAGTTTTTCATCAGAGGCACTTTTTAAATTTTTTACATAATGTGAGCTTTTTTGTAGGATCCAGATGAGAGTCCAGAGGACTGGGCCCGGGGCAGAAATAAGTAACAGACAGCACTGTACCAGCATAGCCTGTAGCCTGAACTGAGCCTTTGCCATCAGGGCAAACAAACTTCCAACAGGCTTATCATGTTAGCTCATCTGGAAGGCCTGACAAGTAAAATTTTCAGCTGTGATCCAAGCAGATCCCTTACTCCACACTACGTATGGGGACATATAAGTTTTATCTACATATAAAAATAGTCTAAATTGGACATTGAAAAATAAGCATCCAAAAGCGTTTTTGATCAAAACTACAAGAAGATACTACCTCATATCCATTAGGATGGCTACTATCAAAAAAAATTTTTTTTAACTTTTAAAAACAAAATAAAAAGTGTTATTAAGAATATGGAGAAATTGAAACTCTTGTGTACTGTTGGTGGGAATGCAAAATGCTGCCCCCACCATGGAAAACAGTACAGTAGTCCCTCAAAAACTACTATTTTGGCTTCCCAGAGGCAATCATACCCAACTACTTTTAGTGTTTCTTGTGGTATTTATGTCCATATTTTAAACAGCCAGCTGGAATCCTGCTATTCCTTGATTTTGGTCAGTTGTAAGGATTCATTGTTTTCATGCTATGGAAGGCAAGGAGTTAGCTCTCCCCACCTTCCTACAATATGACCCATTCTCTTCCCAATATAATTCTGTTACTTTTATTTTTAAATAAATAGACTCATTGCTTGTGTTTTTCTGGCTGTGTAAATATTCTTGACATTGAGTCACATCACATACAGTACTAACAGTACATTCTCTTCTTGTAGGAGATTTTGGTTTTTTAGGGTTAACTTTTTAAAGAATTATTTTAGATATCTTAAGAAGCCATCCCCAAACTCTTGCAAAGATATACTAACACACTGTCAGTTTTATCTCAATGTCTGGCTGCTTTTCATATTTATTTTCAACCAAGACTCCCATCCCTCCCCCGACTCTTACATTTTAGACATTCTTGGTCCTCTAATTCCTGAGGTTTTCCTGAGGTTCTGCAACTGTAGAAGGAAGAATCTTGCCAGATCCTTGGCATGAAACCTGCACAGTACAGCAGGCTATGACTGCAGATGAGCCCAGACGTCAGCCCGGATGATGGTTGAGGTGAAGTTAGGTGGTCTCTGATGCTCCCTCCACTCCCATTTCTATGATTTTTCATGGGTTAAACCTCTTTCTTTTCACTCATCCTTTCAAGCTGCCTTTCCCGATCCCTGCAGTTCTAGGGGATTCTGCCTTAAAGATGTGTGTGTGGGCAGGTGCCGATGCGGTGACCCAATACATTTTTTCTCTTCGCTGAGTCACTCGGAGTAAGTTTTCTTTTTAAAATTCATCTTCCTGTAATAATCCTTTCCTGAAACAATCCTTGTTGACTGGTACAGCTGATGCCCACCTGCTGTGAGAACAGGCTGGGATAGAGGAAACTCCAAGGCTGGAGTTACACCTGACATTATACCAGGCTGACTTCCCTTTCCTCTGGACTTTCTCCATCTCAGCTTGGTGTTCATGTTAATCATTATTTCTCTAATTGTTTCTCACTTTCCACAAATTCACATACAGAGGTGGATTGTGGGTTCCCTCTCATATTCCATGCATAACTAAGCTGGAGAAATAGAGCCCCTGGCAACCATCCAGACTGGCTTTCTACTTCTCTGTAGAGACCAATATGGCACAGCACAGTAGAACAGCAAGGGCCATACAAGAGTTACGGATGATGAGCTAGAAGTGGCTTTTCTTAGTCTCTGTGCACTCCATCGTAGGTGTGAGGGCTGGCTTGGGTGTGAGAATTGGGAAAAAAAACTATTACTTGCCAGTGTCATCATGGAACAGCAATCACCACTTCACCAGTCTGTGGAGGGTCCCCATCATGGGGCATGATAGCATTGACCCTGGGTAAGGAGCTCCACTGTGGCCCTCTCATCCTCTGATTTGGAGTTTTCAAGTGATTTTTTTTCACCCGATTTATCTCTTCCCTACCCCTTTTAATTTCCCAGTAGGTTTGAAAATGCATAAAACCTCCATTTTTCCCTTTGTAACCTCCAGATGCTGATGTTTCACTCTCAGGCAGTTTTTATCCTGAGGCAAACTGCTTACATTGTGAAACTCTAGTTTCTATTTTAATCCACTTTTAAGGCAATACATCTGATTACATACCAAATCTAACACTTTTTTGAACAAAACCTGTATCTCCACCCACCTGCCCTGCTCCTTCCATTATAACCTTGGCAATGCTTTATCCCTTAGAGACTGCAAGGAGACACAGGCTGGGGAAACCTGACAGTTTTCATCATTTCCCAGATACTGTTTAAATGTGATGCTTGTGTGAATTTATTAGTAGCTCACTTATATTTAAACTATTGCCATATATTTTTGTATCTTTTTGTTCATATGTTAGATCATCTTGTAAAATGTAACAGAAGTAGAGAATCATAGAATAAATAACATGTGATGGTTAATTTTAATGTGTCAACTTGACTGGGCTAAGCGATGCCCAGATAACTGGGAAAATATTATCTGTAGTTTCGTCTGTGTGGGTGTTTCCAGAGGGATTAGAATTTGAATAGGTAGACTGAGCAAAGAAGATCCACCCTCACCAATGTGAGCAGGTGTCATTCAAAACACTGAATGTCCGAGTGGAAGAAAAGGAGAGGCAGAGAAAGGGTATATTTGCTCTCTGTGTTTAAGCTGGGACATCCATCTTCCCTCTCAGACTGGTGTTCTTAGTTCTTGGGCCTTTGGACTCAGACTAAATTACACCACCAGCTTTCCTGGGACTCCAGCTTATAGACCATTGATCATGTGACTCCTCAGTCTTCGTATGTATGCCCTGGCTCACATGATACGTAATTCTATTGCTTCTACTTCTCTGAGGAACCCTGATGAATACCCCCATGTACTCATTCAACAATTAACTCATAGCATCTATACCTTCATTTCATCTATACCCTCTCTCACTTGTACATCCCAGGATTATTTTGAAGCAAATCTAGACGTCATAATTTTCACTCTAAATTGTTGCTCTAATATATACATATTTGCCTCTTTATTTAAATTTTATAATACTATGATCATATCTATAAAAATGAGTTTCTTACTATTATCAAATGTCTTCAGTGTTCAATTTTCCCTAATCATCTCATAAATGCTTTCTGCTTTACAGTTTGTTGTTTGAATCAGGATCGTAATAAGGATGATACATTGTAATGAGTTGGCAATGCCTCTTAAGATCTCTTCTATAATGTATTCCTCCATCTCTTTTTTCCACCTTGGTGCAATTCATCTCGTAACAAAACCAGATCATTTATCCTGTCGAGTTTCCCAGTCTGGATTTTGTTAGTTGCACCCACTTTGTTATTTAATATATTTCTCTGTCCCTGTGTTTCCTGTAATCTGGTGGGTAAATCCAGAGGCTTTTGCAATTTAGGTTTGCCTCCTGATATGGACTGTGTAATAGTATCTTTTTATGCGATGTTCCCGTTAGCACTGTCGCTTCCAGGAATCACAGCGTGATGTGTATGCATATTTTGGAAGGAATATGGTTTTTTCTCTCCTACTTAACTGACATTCATATATTCTCTGGGACTTGTTTTCCCTGTACTTTTTGACCTAAAATTGTGGGTAATTTTTCTTCCCAAGGGACATTAAGGAGATTAATTTATGAGTTCATTTTGGTGAAATCAGAATTCTTAAATCCCAGCACCCCCTCCCCAGCCACATTCAAGAAGAACTATTCCAGCAATAGGCTCCATCTGACTTCCAGTGACCACAATAAGTGCATGGAGATTGTGGCTCTTCAGAACACATTCTCGGGAAAAAGTAATGAGCTATGCTTTTGCTGAAAGCTAATATGATCCATTTATCCTTCCATTTCCCACAAACATTTATCTAATTTAGTCCATGTGGATGTAGTTTGACTAAAATAATTAGGGAGTTTCAGTGTGACTGGCTCACCATTCTTTGTGGACAGAGCTCTATGTATCCCACATGGCACCTGGCAAAGGGGAATACACCCAGCCCCTGGCCTCAGGGAACTTACAGTCTTGTATATAAGCAAATGCCCAACTGACTACAGTGCAAAATGTGCCAGAATAAAGATTATATAGGAAGATGGACAAAACCCAGTGAGGCTTTGAACAAGATGATATAGACCATATAGGAAGATGAACAAAGCTAAGAACAAGAGTTCTCAGCAAGGAAAGATAACAGCCAGGGGACAAAATCTTCACAGAGATGTGATTTGGAAACAGCCTTCCAGGACAGAAAGAATTTTGACAAAATTTCGGGACTACATTCAGGACAGAGGATCTAGCACAAACCAAGGCAGAGGCAGGAAACATTTTGCTGGGTTAGGATGTCCTGGAAGTATCTAGCAGTGGTTCTCCATTTTGGCTGTCATTAGAATGACTTAGGAGCTTTGAAAAATACAGAGGCCCAGGCCCATCCCAGACCAATCAATTCAGAGTCTCTGAGGAAGAGGTCTAGCTATTTGTGACATTTAAAAAATTCCCAGAAGTGATTTTACCGGGCAGCCAGGGTTAAGAACCACAGGCAAACAGTGAAGCTTAGCAGAGAGTTAGGACTAGGGAGGTGAACCGTTAGGGTGCCCTGAGCTGGGCCCCTCTCACCTGCTTCTGGCCATGGAGAAAGTCACCACAGAGTGCCACAGAGTAGCTGAGATGCCAGAAACTCTTAGATCTTACCTGAGTCTATCCTCTTTTGATTATATGTGCTTATTATGCAACTAATACCAGAATGGAGTCTTGTGGTGAATGACCTAAACATTACGAATAAACACAGAATAAACACCAGAAAGGCCTTCATCTCCATTCTCTAAGACTCCCACTGGAAAGGTGACTGTTGAAAGTCATCCAGCCCTTCTCTTTCCT